GACTATTTCCGTCCCATAAATGTTAAAATATTAAGCATCAGTTATCTCGCAATATATATGAGAAGCATTATATCGGTACACTTCCTGCCGCCTTGCCTTTGCCGTTTGTTAACTACATTTTAAGCGCGCAAAAAGTCGCCGGTAATTCAAGCAGCATGTACATACGTACCGCATGGCCACCGCTTTGACGCTTTTGACATTTTACGATCGCGCATATATAAAGCGACGTTTCCGGTGCGAAAAATGTACGGCAAAAATAGCCGCGATGGCAATTTTATCGCGAGTCTGCGAATTCCCGGATAAATCTAAAAAATAAATTATATAATTATAAAATTCAAAAAAGGATTAAAGCAACGAAAGAGACTAATATATACATTAATTTAGAATTTTTTGATAAAATCGAATATACAGTATTTATCATAAATAATATTTTAATTTTTACAATAATTTTATTACTCTAGTTTTTATATAAATTTATTGCAATTTAATATAAATATAATTTCTTTCGTTTCGTGCATGTATTTGATGCAATATAGATTTCAAGTTTTAAATATTACGGCTAGCTCTTTGCCAGAGATTTTTTTTGGGAAAGATGAAAAAAGGGAAGCACCGTTACGAGGCATTGTGATTTCAGACGTCATTGTTTATGTCTTCATTTTGCGACCCGAATAATGTATCACCGGCGTTATTGATGTACGCCGGCTCCGCACGTGTGATGGTACCACGTGTGTGCCGTGTACCGATGGGAGCACTAATGGTGTTCAGAACATATTCAGAGAACACCGTGTTCTCTCGTGTGAATTTACCTTCCCTTATTTTATACTTACTTACTTTTATACTTACTGTCTCATCTTTTATTTTCTACCATATATTTTTTATCATATAATTTAATTTCTCAACACAAACGTTCTTCTTTTCCGAGAGGGGTTGTATCTTTAACAACTAGATAAAGATTTAATTTCTTTTTCTAGCGATTTTCAACGGCGTTAAAATATTCAATACAGACACAGGCGAAAGAATTCGCCCGGAATCGCTCGGGGAGAAAGCGTAGGGGAAAATTCGAGGAAAGAACGATAGAAATGGCAGCCAGGCCTGTGGTCCCCTCACGGGTCGCGAATGTTTCGTACGGTCGAGAAAGGGAGTTATCGATTTAATTCCCCGGGAAAAGCCATGGGGGAAAGCCGCGCGACACGAACGTTTCTCGGCCTCTCCTTTATTCGTGCTGCAGGAATGGAATTTTTTTTTGTGCGATACGCGCATATTTTTAGGGTATAATACATATTTATAATAGACAATATTATACAATATATATATGTGTATGTAATTTTGTTATCTCATACGAGGCATAGAGATAAAAACTGACCTTGTAACAAAGTTGCGGAACTATGCTTTTTTCGCTATCGCAGCTTGCATATTTTTTTTTCTGTATCTTTGTTTTGTATTTTACTATTTTTCTATCGTTATTAAATTTTATTCCTTGTTTCCTAACTTTAGTCTCTTATAATTTCAACCTGTCTCGTTTAAATTTACTCGAGAGTTTCCACGTTATCTCTACATTTTCACTGTGTGCGAAGAAATTCGCCAACATTTCAAGAGGAAATAAGTTCATGAAGAAAATTAGATTGTCTGTTATGTGGACAAAATTGTCTATCGAGGCCAGAAGAAATTATGCGGAATAGTCTGTCTACCATCCGGTGACGCAAAACATTCTGTATATAAGTGACGTTTTATTGATCGCGTTTTCTTGCGGCAAACACGTGGCAAATGCATTGTCGCGCATCCTTTGCCGACTGATCACTAAAAAATAGTCATTGTTATTGTCCGATGGGAGAAAAAAGAAACTTGACAGCTACTATCGCCATTCGTACAAACGTTTCGCGCCATTGATTCGCAGAGATTTTCCTATATTTGTTCGCGATTTCACGAGTTACAAATCAATGGAATGTTTCGTATTATTATTTTAATTTGTTCGTTTTTTATCATGAAAATTTTACACAATTGAAAATATAAATAATTATATTTCCAATATAAATTATAAAGATTAAAAAAATAAAAATATAACGCACATGACATACAAGAAGATTTGTTTTTTTAATAATTATGTGTATATATAATTATAAAATCTAAGATATATCTTTTTTATATTTTTTCGTTACAATATAATTCTTTAATTCTCGTAAAATATAATTTTCTCCTTAAATTATAAAAGTTATTAATTTAGTTACTATTGATTCTAGCTTACATCACTTTTACCTTTAAATGCGAGCTGCGAAATTAAAATTCGATTCGCATTCTCATTAGTTTTATGTAGTTGCAAATCACATACGCTACATCACGCGATATTCGCATTTTTGTGCTCGGTGACTATTTATTTCTGCGTTACGACGGGTATGATGAACGATATCGGTTTTCAAAAGAATAATCGCGATGGAAAATGGACAATTCGTACGTGTAACGCTGTCGAAAATTGTGCCACGCAGTCCTACGCATCGCACATCGCTCGTAGACAGCCCAGTGGGCGAGCAAATGCGCATTGGCAGTTAACGTATATACAGGATGTTCCGAAAAGTATACGAGTAACGATATTCTGTCCTTGACTTTAATTTGCAAGTTTGTATCTCCGAAATGCCAAACACATAAATTTGTTAATTTTTTATATCGTTATTTTATAATAATAACTTGCAATATGTTACTTTTTAAATTAATGAAAGTTACATTTTATGAAGTATACTATGATGTACTCTTTGAAAATTTTGATAAGCTCTATTTTAATAGAAATTTTTACGACAAAAATTTCTTTGTTGTTTAGAAAGTATGTAAAAAAACTAATTTCCGACATATCTCTCTTTTTAGAAATCATATTAATCAATTTTGATAATAAAATATTACTCATGTGTTAGAAATTTACTGATCTGAATATTAATTGCTAAATTAAAATAAACAGAGATGTATATCATATCAAATAAAGAAACACGAGATTTTAAAGCTCTCGCTACTTTCTTGACACATCCTGTATACCTACGCATACGTGAACCTACCATAAAGCATACCCACGAGAAAACGCAGGAAGAGTTAGAGAAAGAGAAAAAAAGAGCGACAGAGACAGAGACGGAGAAAGAGAGAGTAACGCGCTCATTGAGATGCGTCTCGCGTATATTTCTCCGGCAGTCGTGGACCGGAAGCTGGCTCGTCATACGTGACGAGTATCCGGTGCCCCGGAGTCGGCTCTTATCGGGATTGACAATTTTAGGAAACAAGACAAAGTGGCATGTATCGATATCTATTAAAAAAAGAGAGACCGATGGGGAAAGCTATATCATAATCTGATGCATACATGATGCATAATAAGCTGTATTGTTGTCGATATCATTCGGCTAAATTTGGTAGCTATTGATGGAAGAACACATGCGTAAAAGCGCAGTTGCGATACGAGAAAGGAAAAGTATAAATTATAAAAATTCATATCTCTATAAAAATGATAGGTAGAATCTTATCACTGCGATGACATTGTAATATTTAACTTTGTGTCACATCAGGAGAATTAATATAATTAATATATATATATATATATATATATATATATATATATATAATACATATAATTATTCACATAATTTATATTATAATTAATAAATTTTTTATTATAATTTTATTTATGACTTATTAGTTTTTTTAATTAACTTTTTTCCACAAAATTAAAATAATATATATTGTTAATATAACTTAATATATATTATTTTTAATGTTGTGGGAAAAAGTTAATTAAGAAAGTAAATAAGTCACAAGCAAATAAAATTACAATAAAAAATTTATTAATTATAATATAAATAATGTGAATAATTATATGTGAATAAATATATGTAATAAAATATTTAAATATTACAATTTTATATGCAATTATGTATTATAATTCTATTATTTCGGAGAAAAATATGTGTAATTATAATATTGAGGATTATATTATAATGCGCTTTAAGCTGTAATCAATGCAAATTTAGGCGTGATTTGCGACAGAAACGTGCAAGTATCGATCGCGATGCTTATGTTAGTTTACACCGACGAGATCTAGTTAACCGATGAAAGACGACGCCGCTCGTTAAAAATATCATTGCGTCATATCGCATCGTGACAACTCTAGGCTTTCATTGTCAGATAATAGTCCGTTATGTTCTCTTTTACAGCTGTGTACAACTGGCGAGGGGACACGCGTTATGGACTACCCTTGGAAATCGGAGAAACCGTGCAGATTCTGGAGGAGTGCGCGGGTACGTTATCCGATTACCATGTTATCTCTCATCTTTTTCTCTTTTGAGGCCGATCGATATACGAATCGTGCGCGTGGCAAGTTCCGCATTCGTTTTAAGGTCAAGGGAAACGATGAGTTCACCGGAAAACGCGATGATGTAGCATCCTGAAAGTCGGACTCTCGGTCAGGAATGATGAGAAAAAGAAATTAAAGAGACGCACATGGAGCATTCTATTGTATGATTCAAAGATAAATCATTTAATAAATCGATTGATCTCGATTTTACTGAATTTTCCGGGACTTTCCACGCAATTCCAGGTTGGTACAGAGGCTTCTCGACCAAGAATCGCGCGGTGAAGGGGATCTTCCCGAGCACGTACGTGCATCTGAAGCCCTGCAAGATCGACAATGAAGGCCTCTTCGAGTCCGTCATTCCGTTGGAGGATCCGGTGGTACGGGAAGTCACCCTGGTTCTGCGAGAATGGGGTGGCATTTGGAAGAGGCTGTATGTGGTGAGTATATTTTATCCCGAGCTTCGCGTTCTCTCGTCCCCTGCTCTGCTTTAACTGCGAAAGTAGTCTCCTGCCTTTGTGCACTTGGGGCTAAAAGGAATATTTTCCCGTTATTAAAAATTGCGATTGATGAGGAGAAAATTGCGATGTTTTTCTTTTTCATCTTCTTTATTCTTCATTCTCTATTATTCATTGAAAATTTCTCTCCATCATTTCCGAGATCTATATGTATATCTTGAAGTTTATAAAGGTTCTTCGAGAGAGAATAAACTTCCTCTTTATTTCTACAATTTTCTTAATAACTAATATTCTTACAAAATTAATTTTCTAATATTTTTCACGTTGTATAAAATTATGCAAACAAATAAAAGAAATTGATTTCACATGGATATCATTTTTTTTTTCACTTTTAAGAGTATCTATATTTTTTTAATGACTCGAAACGCGATCGTGCATCTATATCTGCTGTTTGTCGCAGGAGCGCGAGGAGTACAAATTCAACGCATTGCGCAAAGTGATGCGAGAGCTGCTGGAATGGCGACGGCAACTTTTGGCCGGCACCCTCACCACGGATCAGACTCGGGAGCTGAAACTACGGATAATCAATAAAGTGGATTGGGGGAATCGGTAAGTCAAGAAAAACTACACATCTTGCATTAAATTCGCAGCACGTAAGGACGAGATCATCTCGCTCGTCATATCCTTCAACCAAACAATTGGGAGAGTTACTTGGCTAAAATTCCCATCAGTTATAGATTAAAATATTTTAGGTCGTGAAAAATATATAACTTGACTTCTCGCTACTTTTTGAAAACGAGGTGATTTTTTTAACGTGTAAATTTATTCTAATTAATGATAGTTATTATATAATCGCATTAATTGCATGAAAAGAAATCGTTTTCGGAAATACTTAACAGAATGTAATATCCATTATACTTGACTAGTATAAATTTCTAACTCTAAGTAATCGAGAAGAAGCTACTCCAAGTTATATTTTCCGCAATCTGAGATATTTTAATCCATAACTGATGAAAATATTTTAGCTCGAGGAAAACTTGCGATTACGCAATAATCATCGTGATTTATTCTTGTCATTTGATGGAAAGTTTGTTGTCCGAAAGCTTCAGTCGCGGCGAGGAAAGAAAAAAAGAACTTTGGAATTGCTTTTGCATATGATTAGTCCACGCATAAAAGTTGAATGATGCACGTCGTCGTTGGAAAGAATCTCATTTATTTCTATCATTTTTCTTTCGTATTTTAATTGCTATAACGTTGCACATGTTGGCAGTCTTCCTCTCGTATCGAATGCGAGACGAGAGAGGTCTCGCTCCTCCTAAAGAATACGCTGATACGCTAACGCGTATCCTACAATATAGAAGGCACATTGCGAACAACTATTAAACTTATAATTGATATCGTTTTCTCTTTCTCTCTCTCTCTCTTTCTCTCCCTCTCTCTCGTTCATCTTAAATGTCTACCTTAAGATATCACTCTGTGCGCGATTATTGGCAATCTAACGGATACTGTAAAGGGGAAGGATCGTAGCATTTAACACTATTGTCGTTATACATAGCTATTGTCGGCAGCGCTTACACTTTGTCCTCGTGGACGCGAAGAAGGGGAAAGGGAGAAGAGATGTATCTGAGGGAAAGTTTCTATTGTCTCTGCTAACTGGAAGGAGAATTACCGTGTACATAATAATTAATTGCGAAAAGTAAAGTCTACGTACGAGACAGACGCACCGATTATAATATCGAGGACGATAACGCTTTTTCGCAAACGAGTTGAAGCGATCTCAATTAGGATTAATGAAGTACTTGATTATATTGTTAAGAATGAAATACGAATATCTTTTCATATTGTGAGTTATGCAAGAGGAATCCTATTCGCGTATTTTCTACTCTAGAAACTTTCCTTTCTACTTTACATATTTCTCAAATTACGAATGTCTTAAAAATTGATCTTTTTTTATACATATTTCTAATTTAATAAAAAATTATTTTCTTCACGACTCAAGAATACTAATTAATTATACATTAAACATTATATAATATTAATATATAATATATGAATATTAATATATATATAATATATGTATAAATATATATATATATATATATATATATTAATATATATATAATATTAATATATATATAATATTAATATTCATACGCAACCGTAATTTTAATCCATTTACTTAATTAAATGGCGATCTTCTATATTGAATGCGATCGCATGAATGTCGCATTATTTTCTATCCTTTCTTTTCTTCAATCAAGCACTACTAATTTTAATTCACACTATAATCATTATATCGCAGTCGCGCGGAAATACTTATAAAAAATTGAAAAAAGAAAGAAGAACGAGACATGTGTAAATGTCCGTTTCTTCTATTTGCTACACTATAATTGTATTATTTTATATCTCTGTTAATTACTAGGCAGTGCACTGGTTTTATATATGCTATCTCAACTAATGCGTGGTATTCTCATAATGTCTTCGTAATTAATAATTGCGCGATAATGTTTTGTTTGATACGCGGGATTCGCGTGTATTCGCTCTAATATTAATATAAATCGCTCTCCTATTAATAAATTTTCTAAATTAATTTCCGAATCATTCGTGTGCAAGTATTCATACATGTAATTGAAGGATTCGTTGTTGAGCAGAATATATGTTTTTAAATTTCTATGCGATGTATCGAGATCGATAGCGCACATTTTTCGTCACGTGACGAATCTATGTTATTTCGTGAAAAAAAAAAATATATATATATTGCCGCACTTCCCTATTGTAAGCAATCGGCAGAGCGTTTGTTACGTATCGCAAAAGCAAGTATCGAACAAAAGTAATATATAGCAGTGTATCGTAGCTTCGATGCTAGCTTGCTTTTTTTTCTCCTCGATGATCTAAGATAAGTAAGAGAAATATTACATTCGTGATGTGAACAAAAGTTTAAAGAACATCACTATCAATTCTACGCGTTCCACGTGTGTTATACCTTCCTTAAGTTACCGTCAAATATATTGGCACTGATCTGGAATGAACGATTAATAATTAAAGTGATTCGATCTTACAACAAAGAAAGTTTCTCACGTCAGGCATCTGTTGCGACTTAATGATTATAAACAGTCACAGTGCAAATGTCTTATCAACCCAAAAGCATCGCGCATTACATCGTTACATTATATATTCGATAATCTAATAACGGTTCGTGCCGTCGCGATCGATATAAGATACCAGCATATCTTCCATTCGTTCCTCCTATCGACGTACCGCGTGGGAATGCTCGTTCTAATGCTTCACCGCATTATTCAAATGAAAATGTTTTAAGAAAATAGAGATAATGGGGGAAGAAGGCGCGGTTTTATGTGTCTTAACTTCGGTTTTGTGGTACATGAAAATCTCTCGTAATGACCATTGGATACATAAAGAGGTTGCTTCACGCTGTTTCTCAAACTGTTTTTCAAACTCAGTTTATATGAATACGTAACAGCAATAACAGCCTGAAATAAAAACCTCATAATGATCTCATTGGACAGATGCGTCGATAATCAGGAAACTGCGACGAACTGAGCTCGTATATTTTACATTGCAAATGATGCTGAAACTTTTACAAATAAAATTCAATGATTTGATTTAATAAGATTGTGAGAAATATAATCGAATAGAGAAAAAGAGAAGATCAGAGAGCACATGTCGCAATAATCTCCAGTACAGATTGGAAGATTCGTCAGGTATAAACGTCAGAAACCGACTCGTGCTTTACGAGCGTGCGGTAATGAGCGAAGTTTCCGTCGAGAGAAGACAAGGACCACAGGCTGTCTAACATTGCTTGGAGTTTACGAGCGTCACGTAATAGTAAGATCGCGTCGAACACGAATCTCGACGGACAGCGGAAAGAAACGTCGAGGAGAGGTTCCATTACACATTTTACGAGCACGGTAAGATACTCGACAGCGCGGCACGAACCTATCTCTTTATTGGCACCGAGATAACGGTGGTGTACAGGTACCACCCTCGGTATTATCACAATACGAACAGAAATAGAAGTGGGGAGGGGCGGTGGAAAAAAAATCGACTCGATGAGGCCTCTTGTATTTAGATCTCAGTGTCCTTGGCGTATTTCTCGATCTCCGGGTATATCGGCGACATCTCGAGGGTGCTGGGCGCCGATGGCACCGACGTCGGCGATGCGCCGCTGCCGCTGCCAAATTGCAAGCGGCGGCACAACTCCTCTAATGTTTCGTTGAACATCATGAGATTCATGTTCTGGCCTAACAGATGGAGCATTAGGAAGTCGCCTACCTGAAAATTCCATTTTTTTTTGTTAAATTTCAGGATGGAAAATTTATTGTGAAAATTAAAATTTCATTAGAGAAGGTGCACATTATATAATTTCTCTCTTATTTCTGGCATTATATTATTCACCAAAATTTCATTTTGCAAATATTGCACAGAACCGACAATTATATTACCTCAACTTTCATTCGAAAACTTGTTAAATTAAATTCTTAAATGAATTATTGCAGTTATACCGCTCAATAGAGTGAAACTTTTGAAATTATATTTTATCAAAGCCTTTGTGCATCGAATCAATTTCGTATATGTATTATCGACAATCAAAAAAATATTTTACCTGAGTCTTTCGGATGAGCGCGTTAACCGTATCTGATGTGCCGAACTTGAAGCGCTTTTTGAGAATCGTCTCGCGCGTACTAGGCATCAACACTATAGCCATGCTGTACAACACAGCCAAGCCGGACATGAGTGCTAGAATGATAAACCAGAACCACAGGAAGATGTAGATCTTCTCATTGAGAATATTAAGCGCTAGCACGCAGAGCGCGTCCAACTTCTGTATCGTGCCAGAAGCACCGAACTTGTGGAAGGTGCACTTGGTAATGCGTGGGAACACCTGAATCATCGGATCGGTACGTTGCTCCTGATTCATGTTGCTGAACCTGAGTACTTCTGTGCCATATGTAAGGAAAGCGCCCCCCAGAAAGGCGTCCACGAAGAAGATGTTACCGACCTGAAATGAAAATAATATTATTTTAATGCAAAGAGTTTTATATTTGTAGAAATAATTTGCGAGTTAAATATACAACAATCTACAATAATGAAGTTAAAAATTGGACCTCTATATTCAAGACCAAAATTTAATTTACGCTACGGTATGTTCGAGATAACTTAAGGAGAACTTGTTTACGATATTACTTACGGTATTGACAAAATTAAGGGCCTCGCAGAAAAAGTATGCTGCAGCATAACTGTTGTGTAGATGTAGGGTTTCGACGAGATACTGGACCAGTCTTTCGACTTTAGCCTGTCGTTCCTGCTTGGGCTCGACCATGGAACCTCTCATGCCCTCGGATATTATTCTGATCTTACCCTCTTCCCACTGTTTCCACATCCAATGCGGTATATAAAAGAGCACACCTTGGAAGAACAGCATGAACGGCACCCACTGATAGTACGAGTGATACCTCTTCTCGCCTTCATCGATACCCAGACCCGGATGAGCCACGTGGGTGGACACGGCTTTCGCATTATTTGCCGGTAGCGTGAACGTGTACGTAATCCAGCAGAAAGTGTTGATCACGTGGCCGGCACCGGCAAGTTCCGATATGCAGTTGATAGGATCACCTGTACAATAATAGATAAACAATTAGATCATGATGATTTTTTATCGTTTATTAAATTAGATATTTTTGGGTCGAAATTAATTATAACTAATTAGTGGAAATAAGAAATGACTTATTTAACTTGTAATTTATTTCCATAATTAAAAAAGATGACGATGATTTTCAGGCACCTTGCTCGTATCATTCACCTTTCTGACGAACATCGTTACCAGAGTAATCTCGCGGAATTATCGTGTGTAACGTGTGTTAATCCTATGCCATTAACAAACGTCGGAAAGGATGTTATCGCGACGAAGATAACTTTTCACGTGTCAAGTCACGCTGCAAACAAGCCACTTTGGATGCTGCGCTGTCGTTCTAGACGATGATACTCGAAACTCGAGAATCAAGTATCGGTCTCATTTAGCATCTTGATGAAGCACTTCTAAAACGCAATGAAGATGTTCCTTCCGATATTGATATAAGCATTAAATTTCGCGATATAGTCTGCATTACATTTGCACAAATCCAGATAGTACGTGTATTTTTCAATTAGGAGTATTTACTTGTACTTTTCATATTTCTGTACTTTTCAAGATTTACTTATGTCTAAAGCGATTAAACAGTAATAAAATTAATTATTAAAAATTCTAATACAAAGATAGAGTCAAATAAAAAGGCTTATGAGAAGCGATATCTCTACGCGTTAATATTTTTAAACTTTATCCAAGAATATCTATAGAAATATTATTTTTTACGCCCACGCATTAAACAAAAAATTCGATATTTTATCTTTCGAGATAATCATAAAATTTTTATAGCTCTTATAACTTTTAAAAACAAAAGATCTTACTGTTTTATAAAAAGATTAAAATTGAATGAATATATCGAGAGAGAAAGAAAGAGAGAGAGAGCGCTTCGCAGAAAATAGAAGAGAAAAATGAAAACGTCATTACGCTGAATAAATCTAGCATCTATGCTCTTTGAGCTTCTCCTCGAGATGAAACTGATGGATACCACATGTGTGCGCTATATAATCGCGCTTCATATGTATACCAGATGTTTCACATGTACATTATCGGCAATTAAATTATGCAACGATATTCAATAACGCGATACATTATACTCCAGTTATAATTGATTAGCCATTTGTATTTTTGATCGCTCCAAAAATCTCTTAAAAAATTGAACGTCTAATTTAAAAATTTTCTCTCTTTCGTTATATTCTTAATTTTTTAAGATTCTTTAATTCCCTAATTTTTACAAATAAAATAAATTATATTACTGCCGTATATTTTATACAATTAACTTTAATTAATTTCTGCAGTATTGTATAACTAATGCATGGTTTTTTTATCGATATGAGGTCACAGATATACATCATGCAATATAAACTCGATTCAATAATGATTTCAACGAAAAATGTAAACGCATACGCTCTCCTACTATTACATATCATCATTTGTTACATAATTAATTATTGCTTCACCCTACACAATTCAAGATCCATTAATCATATCGTGCAAAAACGACCTCGATTTGCTCGACAATCGATTTGTCGAGAAATGAGCACATGCCGAGTAGTTATGATTATAAGGTGTAAACATGACTTTTTCTAATCAGCCGCGCCGTTAAACCTATCGCACGACGATAAAAGAGCTCTAAAAAATCATAGAATTAGATGTTTCAAGCCCTCGTTTACGATGTAAACTAATGTACAACTCCGAAGAATGTATTATTGTCTCGCTTCTGTTCGAGGCCCCTGCAATCGAAACCGATTGCACCGACTTATGCAATTGATCCTTAACCCGACAGATTAAATGATCCCTTGCACAGTCTATTTTTAAACATGTTTTCTGCACTTTAAAGACTCAATCTTTCTTTCTTCAAATATTATAATTAAAGTATATCAATTGCTCCAATTAATATTAATTAAGCATAATCATTTCATTCTTGAAGACTCTACTATCGACAATAGAACTTACCATGCAAGATATTTTTCTCAATCGTGTTTTTAAAAGACTCTCAAGAATCTTTCTTAGAAGAATTCTTCGAAAAAACATAAGTGCATATTGAATGAGAATATATTTACCTATCAAGTTATTGGCGGTGACGATGATGCAACAGAGAAACAGAATGGCCGACGTGATCCTGTAATGCATCCTGAAAACCATGTTGTCGATGATGGCCTTGTCAATCAGATACCGCACTTTGACAAATCCGGCGACCGCCGAGACTAAACCGAACACCGCCATTTTCGTTTAATCTGCAAGAAGAAGAAGAAAGGCGTTATTTCTTTTTTGTTGTCATCTTGACAATTGCTGACCGATGAATAATAATTGGCCAACGATAATGCGTTACTTTTTGAGCAATATATTGAAAAAGTTATTAGCCAGAGAATAATAATTATAGTACCTCGTGTTTTAATTAGACATAAACTGAGTTTACTGATTTATCTGTTTGGTTTATTTTTGCATATTTTTTCTCACAAAATGTTTTTTTTACAGCGCCGGTTATTAAAGCAGAACGTTATTTAGATTTTTATTAGCAGCCAGTCATTTAAATAGGTTTTTATCTAAATAACATTTTGCACTCAAGTCATTAGACGGTTGCTAATAAATTCTAGTAGTAAAACCTGTGGCCAGAGGGTTTTCGGCTTCATCTAATCATTTTTTAGTCATTATCAGATTCTTATCACGTACGGAATAGATGATATTTAAATAGTTCGCTAAAAAGATTGGCCAACGATACGGACTTCGTTTAATAAACCATCAGATTAGTATTACTGTATGCATAATGAATGCCCCATAGCTGATGGATCGCGATTAGAAGCGGTGCTTTATTGCGTCAAATGACAACGGAGGGAAGCATTAGCATTCTTATCGTACAAGTCAGTAATTTATAATGATTCTGTACGCATTGCCTGGGAGACAAAGAGAGAGAGAGAGAGATCGACTCACGGAGGTTGCGCTTCGAGTTCTCCGCTGATTGTACATACGTGTCGTATCTAGATTAGCTCGTGATTAATTCAGTATAGACTCCAGTAGTAAACAGGACTACAATTCGAGAGCTGATCATCAATCTTATCTTAGATTTTCTCGATGACAGGCAATTGCGTTGTTTGCGAAATTAATTGAATTTCACGAGAGTTCAAAAATTCGATCGACTTTGCATGTCAAATATATAAAGAATTAGAATAGTGGTCTAATTAATAGCAATACAACCAAGAAAAAACTGTCATTTAATTATAAAATTAATATAGAATCTAGGCTTTAATTTTAATATTTTTTTATTAAATATTTTTGTTTAAAATATTGTGAAAAATTTCGAATTTTTGAAAAGATAAGAATTTAAGAAAGAAAGATTTCAGGATCAATCTTAATTTCTACTTCTACAAATTAAATCATTTGACTTTGAATAAGAGAAAAGACACCGTTCACTTTTCTTTAGCATTCTCATTTTTATTCTTCGAGGCATTCTCGTCAACGAACAAAAAGCCAAAGCGTTTCACCGCGACTTTATTCAGCAAAATCGTCGCAAAATGTTTTCCCGGTCCTTTCAAAAATCCATGGAACCCTCGATGAGAAGGGTATCCGACCCTTTACCTGACATTGCGCGCGTCCGGAAATGGTACAGGAGGATCGATATATAAAGAGAAAGAGAGAGAGAGAGAGAGAGAGAGAGAGAGAGAAAAGAAAATTCACCCATAAAGCCCGCGCATACCTCGACCCAAGGATTGTTCTCGTCAGGAAGCAAAGCTCAACGCGACCGGAATCCCCTCAGTTTCGTCGAGTTTCGATGGTACACAGAGAAAAATGTATACTGTATTCAAGTAAATATTATTTATTTTAAGTATATCCTAAGTTTGTATAAAAAAATATAAGTTCATCACAAGCATTAAATTTAAACAAAAATTTGGTTTGCTTAGAGTTGACGTAAAGTAAGTTTGATTTTTCTTTGATACAACTTTATAATATTCTAAGTAAGTTTGATTTTTCTTTGATACAACTTTATAATATTCTTGAAGAGAAAATAAATTCTTCTTTCGAATACATGATAATGAGATTTTCTAATACTTGTGATGAGTATATTTTAAGACTATTATTAAGAATATATTCTTTGTTGAGAAAAATTATTACTTAAAAAAAGAAAAATAAACTGAGTAATCGCTTTTCTTGGCAGTAGAATAATATTTTTCTCTGTGTAGCGACACGTGCTCGGAGAACCTGAACGCAGAGATTTTGCGAAAGTTACAGCACTAATAGAAACCGAATGAATTTCTCGTTTTTAAAAGTCCGTCTCATTTAGATTTCCATTTTTTTGCATTTATCGGGATTTTATCTCGTACGCTATTTCATCTTTTAATTTGTCTAATCTTCAAGTCATACATTTACAAGGTATGCGATGTTATCATGTTGTCACTATCTGTCATACATTGTAAGAAGAAATCGAGACACGCGCTAATATCTGTCAAATGTAATATCAGTTATTACCATCGTTTAAATAAAGGCAGAATAAAAGTGTTTAACGTCATTCTCTTTTATCGTTTCCTTAGAGAAACAAGATTAAAGCATGCGCGGAAACAGTTTACGTTTCATTTTCGAGATATCGTGGTTTTGTGGTTCCATGCTTTTCGATATAATTGCGTGTAATAATAATTAAACGTGTAAATGCCTGGGCTTGGTCTATTTGCGTTAATCTACGCACATCTCAAGAATTCACTTGTCATTGCGGTTATGAAAAGTATCGTATTCGTAACATATGATGTGATTGTTAATATCATATAAGGAGACAGATAAAAAATTACAAACATATCTAATATTTATTAAATTAATTCAGAATTAATCCTCGAAAGTGAACTTCGAATAATAGTTAAGAAAAAATTACATTAATTAATTAAAATTAACAAAATAAAATATAAATAGCCTATAATTATATAGTTTCTTGCAAAATAATTCCAGATATATTTTTCTATTTTTTAATTTTGCATACTCTGAGGTTTAAATAATTAAGGATACAATCACACGCATCAGAATATTTATGTTTTTTTTACCAAAGAAATGTGTTTTTCCCAGCGATAGAATAATCTTCTCAGCTCGAACAAAATTCAAGGACAAATTATAACTCGTATTCCAGTTGGCCGGCCGTGTATCAATGGAATTTCATAACTTAATTAATTGAAGACAAGCAGGGGACGCGTGTCGCTGTACCGGGTCGATTTGTACGAGGATGAGAATCGTGTGTGTCGTGCAATGTACGGTGTCTGGCACCATCATTATTATAACAGAAAAAGAAGAGAATACTAATGCAGACAATATCTATTTCCAACAGATTTATTTCAACAATAGCAAAATTTTTAGATAATTTTCAGATAATTTTATGAAAATTTTATCTCGATATTTTAAATTTAAATTGTATTGTTTTGCCTGTAAAAAGTAATAATTCCACTAATTTCAAATATGTATTTGATATAAATTTTCTAATAAATCCAATAATTAGATACTCGCAAGAAAGGAAAGGAATGAGAAGAAAATTCTGAACTGACAAGTTTTTTAAATCCTATTTCTATCTCTGCTCTCTCTCTCTCTCTCTCTCTCTCTCTCTCTCTCTCTCTCGCTCTCTCTCTCTCTCTTTTTCTCTTTCTTTCTTTCTCTCTCTCTCTCTTTATGTAACATATTTTATTTTATATTTCGGGATAATAATTATATAAAATTTAAAAATATAAATATTACATTAATAAAAATATGTTCACATTTTTCTTCCTTTGCAATATTTTATAACGTCGAACAATAATTTTCCGAAATCAGTACAACTTAATTATCCCATAATCACCTCCAGTGATAAAGACCTCTGATATATCTTTAGAACAACGTGCTTATGAGTCACACCCGGCAATGTTTTCGAGATGAGAGAGAGGTGTAAGAAAAAAATGAAATAGCGTTTTACGAACTTAACGATATTTCTTTGAAGGTATTCAAAAATTGGAATACCTTCGTCATTCCTTTACCACGCGTCTTGAAACGCTCGTGGCGAAGAAACCGAGCAAGTTAAACCAGTTGGCTGCTGCTGGTTTCTCGGGTGGACAAGAGTGGGGTGCAATTGCATGAGTGAACGATGACGACGGCGACGACGAAGAAAGGCCGATACCCTTTTATATACGTGCTCTCGCCTTGATTAATCGCTTTTCTTGAATATGCGACATTCAATTTTAAATGATATTGGCCGATATTTCTCAAAATTATGTAATCCTAACAAACTTGGACTGCCATATGGTGAATTAAAAATAATTAGCAATTATTAACGATAATTTCTCATATTCTTCCTTTTAGAAAAGTTTAGATTCTCAAACAATTTTGCTTTTATTTTCCATTATACGCTCCATTTTTTATCTTATCGAATTATGGGAAATATATGTCGTTGCCTAAGTGTTACTGCCATTTCGATTACGTGTCTCTTTAGTTAGAACAGGACTTATGACGTTGCGCAATCATACGTACGAGGTAAAAAAGGTTTTATGTCCTATTGGTCGCGGTAATAAACTCGTCGTGAGCGGAATTTTGTCGTCGCTGCTTCTATTCGCGACGAGAATTTTAACTATCATTTAATTTTAATTATTATTGATTATCGAATTCCTATAAAAATGTTATATGATTTATGTTACAATAATTTAATTAAAAGAGTATATTATACGATATATTTATGTGCTCGTATATAAATGATTCAACCGACGATATGAAACCGTGTCAAATATTTCTTGGAAATAAATGTGTAACGAAAAAAGTCCCGTGGTTTGCGAGGACGGTTTTCTTCTCACGATCGCTGCCGCGGTTCGATCTCATACGAATTCTCCATATCGGGTTACGGATGCAGAAAACAGGTTTGAGATCGCGGTGCTGCCAGCCCGGCTCCGATAAAGACCCGAGGAGTCGCTAATACACGATCGAGAAAAATGGAGAACTCGACGGATGCTCTTTGTCCGCGATGGCATCCGGGACATCGGGAACCCGGTTCAGGTTCACCGCATCGTTCGCATTTTGAATGCGAAGCAAGAGAAGACAGGTGTAAATAGCGTATAAGATAAGAAGTGACTCTCGTGTATCTGACTCTAAACAGGTGTACTTTCTACCGTTCACGCGTGAAAAAAAATATCAGTATTAAATAAATAAAATGTATTCTTATGATTTAATTTTTTTGAATGGAAAAGAAACAATGTTAGATAGAAAATAACATTTTTAAATCAAAGATTATAATTTTCTTAAAGTAGAA